AAGAGTCACCTGGGAAAGGAGACTTTGTCTGGGATATGAGTCAACTCTCTTGGGGACGTTTTGGCTCAGTAATTTTTTTATGTGTATGAAATGCCATTAAAGGTTGAGTTTGCTTTTGAAAACCCAAATGAAACACTGGTTTCTGCTTCCAAGTGACCTTCCTCCCCTGTTTGTATCTACCTCTGTCTGCGGTCACACCGAGGCTGAGAAAGTTGAGCAGCTTGTCAGGAGATGGACTGTGTCATGGCATGATTGGCAATAAAAGAGTCCAAACGATAGTTTAGCATACTATCTACTTGACTTTTCTCCAGTGGGCTCGTGTGAGCAGGACACTTGTTCTAAGTTCTGGAAAAAACACTTGGATTGATGCAGACGGTGACTTTATCTACTGGCTGTGTGGTCTGTCTGATTCAATATTTCTTCTGAATGTGTTGTAAAACACTGCTGAGAACAGGCTCATTTCTCTGTTATAAGAACTGTTTTCTTAGAAATTTCACATGCAGTGTTGGGAGAAGAGGCCACAGGTGCTGGATACAATAAGAAAAAACAAAGGTTTATGTTAAAAGGATGGTCCGCTTCTGTTGTGTAGGTCTGGAGAGGGATGTCTGTGGCTTACAAACTGCAGTATAAAAGCTATGATAGTGACACTGGAGTAACTCTGTGACTGTTGATATCAGTGAGAATAATTGAATGCTGAACAAATGTCATAAATGTGTTTACTATATGCTTTTCTATAGAGAGAAAGCAGCTAGAGATACAGCTGTGCCTGGCTGTCAGTCTCCACCAGACTAGTTTTCATTTCCCACCATTTAGTGTGTGGGATAAGTGTGTGTGTTGTGATATGGCCTGAATTTTATACAGGGGTTGGATGGGAAATCTGCTGCTTATCCCAACCTGGGGTTGCTTGAGCCATGGTGTCTACAGGGCTTTTATTTATAAATCTTTCCTTGTACAAAGCAGTATTTTGTGCTGCTCGAGTTTCTGTACACACTGGTGCTGGTGTGACTGCACGCAGTTTCTCCTGTGAACGAGGATGCGGAGTCAGGTCACCATGGCACTTCTCCTTTGCATAAATAAATACATGTGTTGATACTATTTTATACTGCAGTAACAGAGTGGGCAAAATTTGAAAACCAAGAAACTCATGTAGCTCCAGCATCTGAGGAGGCTGAGAGAGAGAGAAGGGTCAGGAGGTGGTGCTGGCCACACATGGCTGCTGGTTGGTCTCATCACACCCAGAGGGTTTGTTCATTACCAGGGACTAGAAACAGCCTCGTGACATGGGTGATCTTTGTTGCAGTCCTCAAAGTACAGGTTTCCAAACTTTTGTTCATACAGAGTAAACAGTTGGATCTGCTGGAATTTCTTGGTTTTTTTTTCCTGCTAAATAATAGTATTTTGGTCTGTAATACTAAAACCAGTAATATTTAAGAGCCTGTAACTTGAGAACTGGGGAAAGACTGTTTTTGGTTTCTTATGCAATCTTCAGTTGACTGTGTTGTAGGAGTATTTTTATTTTTAATTTTTTTTAATTACACAGTGATGTAATACTTAGCCATAGGACCCCACTCCTCACGTGTGCAAAAGAAACAGTTGAAATCCACGGGCAGCTGTGAATTAGATCCACAACTTGCAGCTGCTGCTTTTTGTAGCCTGAATAATGTAACTCGTTAGTTGTGTTCATGTCTGGTGACTCAAAGTTTTCTTCCTGTGCATGGGAAAGCTTGATGGTCCATATTTTCAGTTCTTGCTTTCACCAGTGGGACCTGGAGTAGATGGTGTAGCATTGAGGTTGGCTCTTCTAGAGTGGCAGCTGTGAGAAGCTGTGGCAGCTGAAGCATCTCATTCAAGAAGGTGCTGGAGAAGGCACTAAGTTACCAAAGTGTCTGAGGATTATTTGTCTTCCCAGTTTTCATGCCGATATTTAATAAAATGTCTAAGAGATTATGCTTTATGAATAATTTTTGTGGACTTGATAGGGTTAGGCTAAAGGCTGGACTTGACAATCTTAAAGAGTCTTTTCTAATCTAAATGATTCCAACTTGATATGCTAGTGTGTACTAGGGAGGTAGGTGCTAAGGACCAGGCTTTTGGCAATGATGGAGCACAGCAGTTGTGGCTTTGATATGTGGGAAAGGGTAGATTCAAAACTGGTCCTGTGATTTCTAGCGCCAGTGCTGCTCGGAGGGACTCCTCACACAACCTAAGCAAAGGTGAGAGGATGAGAACACTGAAGGCAAGCTCTGTAGCAGCAGGAGCAGAATGTTCTATGGCCTTTAGATCAGTCTTTTCCTGGGCAGGATGCATGCATAGCTCGTGCACAGGGGGAATATTCTCTAGGTTGGGAAATTGATGGGGTTTGTCAGGTAGATGATTACTCAGTGGGATTTTCTGGCCATCCTTTCTCCACACAGTGGTAATAATATTCTGTAAGTGCTGTATGATTTGCTTTGGGAGAAGGTATGACTTTTTATACAGCTGTGAGCTGAGCCAGGCAGCCCCTTGTGTTCCAGCTCCCCCTTCTCCCTTCTAGTCAGGGCTTGCTCAGATCAGAGGAGGGAGGAAAGAGCATCAAGGGTCACTGAAAGGTTCAGACTCATCTGTAGCTCAACTCACTTTTTCTGTACATGTGAGGAATTGTAAAACACCATCTGTGAGAACACATGCTATGTATATGTGCCTGTCTTCAAATACATTAATACCAATTTCTTTATGAGTAATAGAAAAATCTGAGCAAGGAAGGATGCAATAGCTTCTCTTCCCTGCAGAAAAATGTCCTGCTCTTTGGTCAGTTATATGAGGTAGCATGGACCCAGTTTAGTCTTGTGCAAGTGTGCACATTTATTTGACAAGAAGATGCTGAGAGCAAAGTGAATATGCAGCTTGTTAAACAGCCAATAAATCTAGGTTATATCTTCCTTCCCCAGTCAGGAAACAAGGGAGCTATTTTTAAATCTGGCCTTCCTGTACACATTGAAATAGTTATTTTTCTTGTGCTAGACAGAACACAACAACACTTTCACATTAAATAATGAGCTCTTACTGTTGCTCTGATCTAAATGGCCAGGACTGGACAGAAACCATTCTTCCTCCAAAAAAGACTGGCTCCAGTGATTTTTCCAGGCACTGACCTCTGCAAAGATGAGATCATCCAGGGAGAAAAAGGAGCAAAGCAACTTGAATGGTGGGGAGAGAAGCTTGCCAGTAGCTTTGCTGGAGGTCTTCCATTGCATTTCACTTGTTTGGGAAGGGGGGAAATTACAGATAAAAACTTACTGATTTGTGTGATCTCAAAGCCTTTTGCAATTGTTAAACAAGAGACTGGCTGGATGCCCTTTCTGCCAGAGATCATTTATTGCCGTTGTTAAGGAGGACTGAAGGTGTGGATTTTGTAGCCTTCAGCTCCCTGCAGTGCACCCGTGGCCCTGGGTTGGTGCAGGGACAGAGCCAACACTTGCTCAGTGCGCATGGGAGGTAGCAACTTTGCATTTGCATTGTTGTACTGTAGTGTCTGGTTTCTACAATTTGTGTCTGTTTGAGCTTCTCAGCACGCTGGGAAGTGGTGCCCTTCTCTTAATTGATAAAAATACACAGACAAAGTTTATACAGTCTAATCTCTACCTGACAAGTGAGGGAGCTGTAATTTAAATTTATTAGTCTTAAGGGTTGCAGGTGATTCTGTCTTTGTGTTCAAAATGTGCCAGATTCAAGTCTTGGCATATGGTGCTGCCACAAACTTTGACTCTGATCTTTCTGCAGGGGCCTGTTGGTACCTGTTGTGCTTTTGTGTGTTGCTGCTGCACACTGACAGGACACACCTCATCCTTTGCTGATGTTCTTGGTTCTAACCCAAGTGCAGATCACTGAGGGAGTCTGAGTTTGGATGCCAGAGGATAAAGCTTCTTGGCTAGGCTGCTGGATAGAGGAAAATAGATGTATGATACCATAACCTAACCAGCTGAAATGATAGGCAGGTCTTTCATGAGCCTTTGTTTTGAGCTGATTTTAGAGCTGTTTGGAAAACCCTCTGGTCACTTCAGAGCTACAGCTGCTGCAGTATCTGGATCCTATTTTTATAGGCAACTGTATTGCCTACTTGCCTATCTCTAAAGAGATTTCTGCTAATGTTTTAGAACATTTTTTTTACTTTGTTTTAGTTAAGCATTTAAAGATGTGGAAAAAAAATGGAGGAAAATATTTGGAGGAAAATAATGCTGGAAAACACCAGAGCTAAATACAGTGAACCATTCAGAGAGTTGCTGGATATGAGCTGCCTCAATTTATTTGTGTACATGAAAGAATCATACTATTCCAATATATTGATTTTTACTTATCTACTCTGAAACAATAATAATTTTAATATTTTTTTTTAAACACCTTTCTTAGAGATCTTGGATAAGTTGTGGGCTGAGGGGAGGGAATATTTTATGTCAACCACAGTTGCTGCTTCTTTCTATCTGGGAATCCTGGATTTCGTTTAAACTTTTAAGTCATTGTCTCTCTCCAAAAGGATTCATTAGAACATATTTCCAAATTATTGCACTGGATGTAAAGAAGAGGGCATAAGGAAATGTTCTGTTAAAAGCAGCAACAAATGTGTCTCCAAATACAAATACAAATATCTGGAGTCATCTGAGTCTTTTTCTGTTGAAAAGACCTTTCTTGTTTAAGTGTTAACAGATTCAGGCATCAACCTTTCATCAGGAAAACTTTTGTCTGTTGCTTTCAGCCAGTGAGACAACAGAGGTGTGAGTGCTGCTTTCCCTGCTTGCTTTTCAGCTTTTCTTTCAGTTAAGATTGAAAATTTGTCAGAGAAGCAAGAAAACAAGAACTAATTATTGTGTAAATTAATTTATTTTCTGTAAGTTCATTCCAAGGGGTTACAGAGTTGGGGGCGAGTTTCTTTTTTAATGGAATCTAATTTATTAAGGCACAGAAGGAAAGATAAAATTTAGGAATGCAGTTATAGCTGATCATCATGTTGGGGCTTGTTTTTCCAGGTCAATCAGAATGTGGAGATCCAAAGGGCCCGTCTGCGAGATGATATTAAAGAATATAAATTCCGAGAGGCACGTTTGCTGCAAGACTACACAGAGCTCGAAGAGGAAAACATCTGTCTCCAGAAACAAGTGTCTGTCCTGAAGCAAAACCAGGTAAGTTTTTCAGAATGGTGAGCATTGCTTTGGTAGCACTTGTTAATTCCTGTGTTACAACTTAGTTCTGTCTCGTTTGAAAATCCAACCACTTCATTTCTATGTTTGTAGTGGTTTTGAGGCTGTGAGCAGTGTCTTCAGTACCAAGAGTTGTCCCAAAATGTTTAGGTCCTTTCTGACTCTGTTTATACACATTCATAAGACTTTATTGCTTCTACTTAGGCTTTCACATCCTTCTACTTCTTTCTATCTCTTTGATGGAAATGAAGTCTCTACCAGTTTGATTTGTGACTTTGTTTAGGGTTTTTGCTACGTTATTTTTTCAGTGTCTCTTTGCAATACTTCATCCATCCTTTAATCCCTTCATCCAGTTCCGTAATATCTGCATCTGGATGTATTTCTGAACATATGTTTTCATCGATATTAGTGCCTAAATTATCTCTCCAGTTCTGCACACTTCCTCTCTTCTAGCTACTTCCATTAAATATGGACTAGTGTCACAGTAGCTCTATACTATCAGACCTGGGTGACTGTTTATTTAAAAAGTCACCTTTAATTGCACACTTGAGCTATTTTCATAATTTTAGAAAACTACATTTTTGGAACAACTCAAGAGTTTTCCTGAGTTATCATTTGCAGAGGTAATTAGACTGGGTTGGCACTGCTCTCCTACCTTCATCTATCAATTGCAGACTTGCTGTTGTTATTCTTCAGGTACCTGTCAGTCTCGTTGTATAAATAAAACTCAAGGTTCCATTGAGAAAGTGGTGAATTCCTGAAATAAAGCTCTTGAGGAAGACATGAGTGTTAATGCCGTCTGTTGGAGTGCATACATAGCAAAGCTGATTAGGATCTGCTTCAGTGTTGGGAATAAAAGCTGTCCTACCAAGCCAGCTATTTGGGATATTGAATGGATTTCATATGTCTCCAGGTGAAAATCCATGCCAGCCTTTATCACTTTGGCCTCACTGATGTGCCCAAAAGGGGGTTCCAAGTTGGACCTGTTCTCACCTGAGTATAGTTGGTCTCATTATGCTCTTTTGGGTGCCCTGACATCATGCAGTAGAGATTTAGGGGCTATTAGGCTCTAGATGGAGACTAGAACAGAGAGTGATCTGGTGAAATCCAACCTATGTAGCTGGTTACTTTTGTTTATTACCTTTTTTTTGTGTAATTCATTGTATTCAGAGGAGCAAGTGAAAGTTCCCAGCTCCATGTTCCCATGCTAAAATAAACACATGGAGGAATGCTGTCACTCTGGGATGAGCAAAGTTTAACCTCAGATGCTATATTGTCTGTTGCTAGCAATTACTGACTGCTGTATTTGTCTTCTGGAACCTTTGAAAATGGTTTGTCATTTTAAATATTTCAGCTCAGTGCATGTACAGCACCAAGAACTAATTATTCTCATGGCAATGGATTATTAATTTTCTCCTTTGTCCTAATCCTACTTGATGAATGTTATTAAACTTTAATTATCCCACTGACATAACTAGAAGTAGCCATCAAGTTTTCCCAGGCTTAACTTGCAAAACTGGATTACCATGATTAACCAATGGTTAACCTGGTTTTTAAATCAGGTGTGGTTCAGCACTGCCAGGCTGGTGTATGTTGGCACCTCAAATTCCTTTAGCAGTTGGAAAAATAAATAGGGTCATGGATCACGTAGTATGTTTTTCTTTCTGTCATAGTCAGAGGAAGAGGAATTCTTCAGGCTTTGTTTGTTTTTTCCCCCAAGGAGTTAAACATTTCCCACTAATGGTTGGTGTTCAATGCTTCAATGCAAGAGAGGTTTAAAAAAACCACAATTTGCCAAGTAAAAATTTATAGATGCCATCAAATGTTATGTAGTAGCAGTAACAGTGTGAAGTGTAGAGTCTGAATTGTAGTGCCCTCAAGATGTGCTGAGGTGATGATGACAGAAATGATAAACCATTACATTTGGGTTGTGTAAAAGGCAGAGTTTGATTGTTTGGTGCATCCCAACAGTTTTAAGCCCAGTTATTCTAACTGCAGTGCAGCACAGTATCAGAAGCATAGCTTTGCAGTGCTGGGTTTTGGAAGTGTTGAACTTGAATTTGTGGGAAGGTTGGCCAAGGAATTTGTTAATCAAACACAGAAAGAGTTTGCATAATGTAGTAGGAAAGCCTGTTTTGTGATGCCTCTGTATCTACTACTTGTCTTAATTAAGCTGGAATAGATCAGCTCATTTGGTGGTTTGCTTGGAAGTTTTATTCCATGGTCTCTCTGAAGATGTAAACTATGGAATCAGTGTTTACAGTCAGTGCCAAAACTAGACTCCAGAACTGAAAAAAATATCTTGCCATATTTTTCTGAAATTAAACATTCAAAATTATATTACTTGGTGCATTACAGGGAGGTATTTTCATTAGGATTTTTTTTCCCCTTTCATTTCTTTATCCCCAGGTGGAGTTTGAAGGCCTGAAACATGAAATCAAAAGGCTTGAAGAAGAAACAGAATTTCTCAACAGCCAGCTGGAAGATGCCATACGGCTGAAGGAGATTTCTGAACGCCAGCTTGAGGAGGCCTTAGAGACACTGAAGACTGAGAGGGAGCAGAAGAACAATCTCCGTAAGGAGCTCTCTCACTACATGAACATCAATGACTCCATGTACAACAGCCACCTGAACATCTCCTTGGATGGACTGAAGTTCAGTGATGAAGCCACGGAGCCCAATAACGATGAAATCATGAATGGATTTGAACAAAACTGCCTCAGCAAACTCAGCAATGGCAAGAACAGTACATCAACACCCAAGAAAAATGAAAGCTTCCCTCCAGCTCCAAGTCTGGTTTCAGATCTTCTGAGTGAATTAAACATTTCTGAAATCCAGAAGCTGAAACAACAGCTTGTGCAGGTGAGTGGGTTCACTGAACAACCATGTACATCCAAATAGCTGTTGGAGTTTATTTGGGTTGTGATTTCAGTCTTTTCAGTATCTCATGTGACAACCATATAGTATTGATCTATGTTTGGCAAGGCTCTAATTTAGAATTTGAGGATGTTGGGCTCCCCAGTTCAAGAGGGATAGGGATCTACTGGAGAGAGTCCAATGGAGGCTACAAGGATGATGAAGGGACTGGAACATCTGTCTGATGAGGAAAGGCTGAGAGACCTGGGGCTGTTCAGTCTGGAGAGGAGAAGACTGAGGGGGGATCTAATTCATGTCTGTAAATACATGAGGGCATCCAGAAGGCAGGGACAAGCTCTTGTCACTTGTGCCCTGTGACAGGACAAGGGGCAATGGATTCAAACTGGACCACAAGAAGTTCCACCTCAAGATGAGGAAGAACTTCTTTCCTGTGAGGGTGACAGAGCCCTGGGACAGGCTGCCCAGAGAGGTTCTGGAGACTTTCCAGACCTGTCTGGATGCCTTTCTGAGTGACCTGCCCTAGTTTTGGTCCTGCTCTGGCAGGGGGGTTGGACTCGATCTTCAGAGGTCCCTTCCAGCCTCTGACATTCTTTGATTCCATTATTCCTTTCTCTCTCCTTGTGGTCAAAGTATTGGTCAGTGGTCATTTCTTCTTTTTGCCATTTTGGATGCAAAGAAGCAGGCACGTCCTGTGTTTGGAGGAAAGCTGTAAGGCATCTTTTGTCAGTCCCTGCTTTGTCTGCTTCATTATCACTAGTGAGAAAGGCAGAATTTTATTTAAAAATTGGTAGTTACTCCAAGTCATCTTCCTGAAAAGGAGTTCCATACACTCCCTTTTTTTCTGTAATTAGTTTGAAGAACATGAAGTTTTATTCAGTACCAAGCATTTCTGTGTTATACCTGTGCTGTTGGGAGGTGGAACAGTGTTCAAAACAAGGTTTGAAACATAATTGTGTTGCCTAGAAATGTTTTCATGGTTTTTTTGCCAAGCATTTTTTTGAAGTGTTCCATAAGAAAGAGCCTTTGTGGTAAAAAATGGCTGTATTTTTTTAAAATAAGAACTTTCACAGGAGAAGCTTTCAAAGTTGGTTTCAAAGGTGGTTGAGCCACCATCCCTGGAGACTTCTAAAAAGACAGATTTGTTGCCAGGGGACAGGGTTTAGTGGTTGATGCAGCAGAGTTAGGGTAGTGGTTGGACTTTATTATCTTTAAGGTCTTTTCCAACCAGAATGATAACTGATACAATGATAAGTTTCAGTATTTATGAGTCTTTCACGAAACCCCAGGCTTCCACCATAGGTTAGCTGCATGTTTTGTAATATTTACTTGATAACAGTTAACCATAGCTTATCTTCATCTGAAAGGATGTTTCCACAATAAGACCATCAGGTATGGAAGAAATGTGTGCATTGTGGAGTGGAAGTGAGAAAGAATTGGCAAGGAACACTATGCTTTAGGTAGTTGTAGCTTTTTCCATAAGGTGTGGGCAGTTGGATTTCTGTAACCATATGGACCCTGGCTAAGTTGCTGCCTCTCGTGATGAAACCAGTGAAGTTTCCTTTACATAGATGTCATGTTCATGTATTGCAGATGGAAAGGGAAAAGGTGAACTTGTTAACGACGCTACAGGAATCTCAGAAGCAGCTGGAAAATACACGAGGAGCCCTTTCAGAGCAGCATGAGAAGGTTGGCAGACTCACAGAAAACCTGAATGCGATGAAGAAGCTCCAGGTCAGCAAGGAACGTCAGTCAGCCCTTGACAATGAGAAGGACCGAGACAGCCATGAAGATGGAGACTATTATGAAGTTGACATCAATGGGCCAGAAATCCTGGAGTGCAAGTACAAAGTGGCTGTAGCAGAGATTACTGACCTAAAAGAAGAGCTTAAAAATCTTAAGACCAAATATAAAGAATGTGAGTCAAAGTATGAGGAAGAGAAAAGCAGATATGAGACCGAGAGCCAAGCTCTGACTGAGAAGATCACCTCACTAGAAAAATCCAGTAGGCATGATAGAGAACAGGTGGCCAGACTGGAGAAGGAGCTGAAGAAAGTCAGTGATGTTGCTGGAGAAACACAGGGCAGCCTCAGTGTGGCCCAAGATGAACTCGTCACCTTCAGTGAAGAGCTGGCCAATTTATACCACCATGTCTGCATGTGCAACAATGAGACACCAAACAGAGTGATGCTGGATTACTACAAGGAAGGTAAAGGTGGACGCAGTAGTCCAGAGGCCAAGGGAAGAAGGTCTCCCATTCTTCTTTCTAAAGGGCTGTTAACTATAGAGCTAGGAAAGTCAGAGAATGGAAGCAGTGACAGCAGCCCATCTCCAGTGTCATCTTTGCCATCTCCCGTGTTGGATCCTCGGAAGGAACCCATGAACATCTACAACTTGATCGCTATCATCCGGGATCAGATCAAGCACCTGCAAGCTGCTGTGGACAGAACAACTGAGCTGTCAAGGCAGCGTGTTGCCACTCAAGAACTTGGGCCAGTGGTGGACAAAGACAAGGAAGCTCTCATGGAAGAAATCCTGAAGCTGAAGTCACTGCTGAGCACCAAGAGAGAACAGATAGCAACTCTGAGAACTGTGCTGAAGGCCAACAAACAGGTAAGCAGGTCTTAAAGATATGAAGGTTATAGTGTTAGGTCAATAAACAGGAGAATTTATCTGCAATATCCTCAACTCAGTGGAATTTTTGTTGCTGATACTTGGTACAAGGCTGAAGAGGTTGGTTTCTTTTGCACATTTTAATAAAGGTGTCTTAAAATGTAAGATTGGCAAAATCCTGTCAGGGTTAGAGAACTGTACTAGTGATTGATGAATGCCTTTAAGTATACATACACTAAATAGACTTCTGTTCTTTGTGTTGAAGTATTTAAAGTTTAGATTCTTTTAGCAGTTGGGAACAGGTGTCACTAAGTGTATATCCTGTAAATTCCTCAAGGTTGCTGTGTGATTAAAGGGAGTAGGAGACTCCCACATCTCGTCTGTTTTCAGTGTCCAAATAAGAGGTATTATTTTACTTGTATAAGAAAAGTTGACCAGAAGCTTAATATTCCAGCACAAACTCAATGTTTAATTATGTGAATAGTGATTAAAAATCTCTTAGCCAACCACTTTGTGAACAGTTTCATGAACTATGTATGTTATAAAATGTAAAGGGTGAGTGTCAGGAAGACAGAGCCAGGCTCTTCTCAATGATGTCTGGTGACAGGACAAGGGGCAGTGGGCACAAACTGGAGTACAGGAGGTTCCACACAAACATAAGGAAAAACATCTTTGCTGTGAGAGTGACTGAGCCCTGGGACAGGCTGCCCAGTGAGGTTGTGGAGTCTCCTGCTCTGGAGACTTTCGAAACCCTTCTGGATGTGTTCCTGTGTGACCTGCTCTAGGTGACCCTGCTCTGGCAGGGGGGTTGGACTGGATGGTCTTTCGATGTCCCTTCCAACCCCTAATGTTCTGTGATTCTGTATAACTCTGTGTGTTTCTGTTCTTGGTAAACAACAGACTGCAGAGGTAGCCCTTGCCAACTTAAAAAGCAAGTATGAGAACGAGAAGGCCATGGTCACGGAAACCATGATGAAGCTGCGGAATGAGCTGAAGGCTTTGAAAGAAGATGCTGCTACCTTCTCTTCCCTGAGAGCAATGTTTGCCACAAGGTAAGGAACCTTACTTACCTTTCTTTATCAAGCTAAAGAAAGTGAAGATGTTGCAGACATCTTTCTTCTTGGTTTATCCATCCTGCAGTTGGCATCTCTGTCCTTTCATTTAGCTGATTTGGGTTGCATGTGCCTTTGGAACTTGCTCCTTCTTCTTAGTTGTTCTTTGTGGTGGTAGCAGACAAAAAATACGTGCTGACACCTCACAGGCTGTGGAAGTGGTAAATGTTATTTTGATCTGCATGTACTTACTGCTACTGTCCTTGATTTCTTCTTTGAGTCTACATCTTTATTTTGGTTAATGTTCAGGCAACGCCATCATGTTACAAAATGTAGATCACAGCTAAGGACTGTTCAGTTGGCTCCTGTGTGGAGATGATCCTGGAAAACAAGAAAAGAAAAAGCTCTATCTCAAATGCTCCATCTTCTGCTAATAATATCATAGTATGGAACCACGAGGGTACTTCTGAGGCTTTTCTGTATGGTCTTTTGTGTGGGTGGTTCCACATCAGCTCTCATGTTCTCTGGGTAATTTGAGGCTTCCTGGTGATTCAGCCTTTCTCAGCAGTGTCTGTGCATGTGGGTAAGCATGGAAAAGAGAAATGGATACTAAGGAATGCTGAAGGCTGAACTGTGGCGGCTCATTATGCTAGAGAAGGGAATGCCCTGTACAGTCTGGATTTGTCCTAATTTCTTTCTGCTCTCTCTCCTTTTCTGAAGTGTAATTAATATGCAGAGGCTGCAATCTCTGTCAGTTGAAGCTGAGAGGAAAGTGAAGCAGCAAACTGCTAACTTGCAGTTATTTTTCCTAGATACAGGTAGCTAGCTGTCTAAATTCCATGTAACTGCATCATATTTCCCCCACGTGTTGATTTTCCTGCCTCAGAGGGATAATTCTTACTCTGCCTTTCTTTTCATGTATTATCTAGAGTTCAATCTTGTCCTTTCACTGGGAAGACAATAATGAGGAATCCTTGACATGGAGAAGTTGCAGGATAAAGGTTTTCTGAAAGCAACAGACTTAAGAGCTCTGTCCTGGAGCTCTCAGGACAGTTGGGGTGATGTGAGGTAGGAGTGAGCTCTGTTTGGGCATGCACAGCAGACTCCCCTGCCTAGATGGACCACTGTTATTTCTGAACTTCTCTTTACTTAGTAACAGTAGTGAAAAAAAGAAGAGGCCAGGACCAAAGGACTCAGATGAGACCAAAGCTGAGATGGAGCACATGGAGGTTTGGTCCATTGAGCCTTTCCTCTAGTTGCTGCTCGTTTTGTGGCAGAGTAGCAGCTGGACCTTGTGTTTTGCATTGACCCTGAGACAGTGGCAATTGTACAGAGCATGAAGAATTGCTTCTTCCTTCTGGTGTGCCCAGTGTTTCAGATGGCACAATCAAAACCTCCTGCTGCAGGCAGGGAGCTGTCACTCTGTCCCTCCCTGGTCTCTGGTCAGAGAGCCTTAGCAGCTTGGTGCTGGACTGAGTGCCTTCCTCTGGTGCTTCATTGAAGTCTCCATCTCAGGTGAGGTAGGTTTGGAAGGGGTGTTCTAGGTGCTTTGGTGAAGATAACCTCAAAAACTGTTTTGGACTCTGATTTTTATGTATGTCTCAAGTATCAGAAGTATTTAACAGCCCCATTTGTCTTCACCAACACGAACAACCTGCTAATGGGGCACCTCTTAACAGTCTTAACAGTTTCTTAACAGAAACACAGTAAGTTGTGTTTCTTCAGTGGCCAAGAGGTTCTTATCAGCAGAGACTAATAACAAGCAATGGGGCTTCTACCCCACAGTGTTGGTTGGTGTGGTGTCTGAGGGTGGGATGAAGAGAAGTGCTGCACATAGACCTGAATTTTCCTGCACCTTTTGTAGGATGCAAGAGAACTGTAACAATACATGAGAGCTGAAGGCTGGGCATGAATGTGATAACTGACCTAATTTTCTTTTAAAAATAGGTTAATCCCACTAATTTCACAGTACTAGTAGCTATTTTTAATCAGTAATGAAAATGCAATAAGACCTCAGCAGGCTTGTAGAGCAGAGTGACAGCTTCCAGCCCCGAGGGGCTGCAGCAGCACTCCAGGCAATCCTGAACACCAAAAATTATAAGCTCTGATGCAAAGGAATAAATCAAGATGTGCATAATGTACTATAGACATCCATGCAGTAGCTGTCCTGTTGAAGTCCAGGTTTTCTTAATCGACACACGTATCCCTGTCATATGTACAGACTGTTTAAGCACTGGAAGCCAGATTAAAATCTGTCCTGTAGAACTGAAAACCAACTTCATCTGCTTAGTTAGACTCCAGTGTGTATTTATGTATCACTGGATTGCAATCAAGCATTTTGATATTTCATTAGGAAACTCTTTCTACACCAGAAAAAAAAAAGGTGCAATTGCATATCCATTTCAAACCCAGAGAAGCTGAACATCTTTTTCCTTTTACTTTGTCAAATAGGTTTGCACTTGTGAACAGGCAGTTTGGCTGCTGCAAAATGTAAATAAACAAGGCCTGGTGATGATGCAGCAAATGTTCTTTAGGGTGCAGCCTTCAGCTCTATTTACAGTGTGTTCAGTGGCACCTCTTTCTCTTCATGGGTACCATCTGTATGTCACCTGCTCTCTGGAGCAGGTCTATGAATTTCCCCAAATAATCTTTCTCAAAATTCATCATACAAAGTGTACTACTATACTATATTATTTATTTAGGAATTTAAACCAGAATAGCTTGTATTCATGTGAATAGGCTTAGCACTCTAAAGAAAGCAGTCACTTCTACCATACACTTGCAACATTGAACTGCAGTTATATCTGGGATGGGTGTGTTCTGTATTTTAAAGAATAAATCCTTGCAAATTTGCAAAGGAAACCCATTTGTGTCAGAATTTTTACCTTAGAGAGTATAAACTATTAACCATCTTGTTTTCAAATAACACCTTCAATGGAAATTCCCAAAAGACAGAGGTAAGTCTTTTAAATGCAGTATTTACTCTGAGTTTGAACTGAGTTGTTAACTGCATCTCCATAACAAAAAGTATAAAGAGCCATATTTGCAGTAAAATCATTTCACTCAAGTCTTTGTTTAAGTAGGTATGAACCAAGGGGCTCCTGGCAATTGAGAAAGGAAAAAGCAGAGTGAGGAGTTCCCAGACTAGAGGCAGATAACACTGGTGGTTTCAGGTCACTTCAGAGTGGTTCATAGGGAGCACCAAGCCAGGAGCTGCTGCTGGTTTTTCCTGGCAAAAGTATTTAACCTGCAAAAACATTTGTGGAAGGTTAATTTCTATATTTTTTTCAGCTCTCATATAGATGGTTAAGAACATTGAAATATTATTTTTTTTTAATACAGAACATTATAAATCAGTATTCAAGTGTGAGGAGGAGGGGTTAGTAGCAAATCTGAGATAAAGTAATTAATTTTCCTCTAAAATATTGTCAGAAGACAGACTGGGTCCTTTCTTTGCTAGACACAGAGCTTGCAGGGAACTTGTGGTGGGTATGTCCTGTTTTCTAATGATCTGGAGTGGGAGTGAAGCACAGTTCACTTGGCTTGTAGGTCAAGAGATATTTCCACTGCCTGTAAGCAATGTGTCATTCAAACTTGCAAGCACGTTAGAACTCAGGTTTCTTAAAGTTTATTATGTTGAGGGGGGGAAATACTGTATCACAGAATCATCAAGGTTGGAAAAGATCAAGTCCAACCATCCACCCTACGACCCCCAACCACTAAAGCATCTTATGAAACCCCACATCTACCCCTTTTTTTAACACCTCCAGGGACGGTGCCTTCACCACCTCCCCAGGCAGCTTGTCCCAAGGCCTCTCCACTCTTTCTGTGAATAAATTTTTTCTAATATCCAATCTGAAACTCCCCTGGTGCAACTTGACCCCATTTCCTCTTGTCCTATCACTGGTCACCAGGGAGAAGAGGCTAAAGCCCACCTCACCACAACCTCCTCTCAGGCAGTTGTAGAGGTGATAAGGTCTCCCCTCAGCCTCCTCTTCCCCAGGCTGAACAGCCTCAGCTTCCTCAGCCTCTCATGAGAAAAATCCAGGTTGTAATTTAAGCTTGAGGCTTTTTTAGCTTAACTTTTTGGGAAAGAAGGAGGGAAGAAGAAGACTGCCGGGTTCTGCTAGTTGTTGGAAGGACACCTCTGAACTTGCAATTTCCAGACTACACTGCAAGTGATAATGCAGCAGAGGTACATGGATCCAGCAGCCAGCAACTCAGGGTGAAGTCCTTACAGGATGGTTTGATGAAGAGCAGCAGGCCAGTTGGGTCATCAGTTCACAGCCAAGAAAAGTGCACTCAGAAAAGCTTGTCATGAATTGGGCAGGAAGAAAGTTTAAATACCATTTTTAATTTAAAAAAGCAAGGGTTCTTTTGTTTTGTTAGTCTTTTCTTGTGCTTGGTTTGCTAGAATTTGAGTATCCGTCCAGAAATTCTACTAACTATAGAAAATGGCAGAAACCACACACAGTGAAAGAACGTGGGGTTTTACCTTTCTTTTCACTGTTATTTTTCTGCTGTTTATTATGGCCTGAAAGTTTTTTGTCTCTTTAATTTGCATGTTGCATACTATGTGTACTCATGAGAGGACACCATGTCTTCTCTCCAGAAGTGCCTCCTGTGGGACAGGTTGCAGGTGAATGGAATAAAGCAGACTAAAGCCAGCCAAGCTGGCCCCTCACTAGCTTATTTGCTCATGGTCAGGCAACAAAACCAATTACATAAATTGTGTTGTTCAATATGAGCCAGAGATGTGCACTGGCAGCCCAGAAACCAGCCTGGGCCAGGCTTCCAGCCTGGCCAGCAGGGCCAGGGAGGGGATTGTTCCCCTTTACTTGGCTCTTGTGAGACCCCACCCAGAGTACTGTGTCCAGCTCTGGAGCCCCCAGGATAAAGAGCTTCTGGAGAGAGTCCAGAGGAGGCCACAAAGATGATCCAAGGCCTGGAGCAGCTCTGCTCTGGAGGCAGGCAGGGAGAGTTGGGGTGTTCAGCCTGGA